CATTGAATGAAAAGAGTGCAGAAAGAAGAAACAAATTCTTATATCTCTCATTTAAAAAAACCATAAAAACTACACAAACATTTAAATTAATCGCTTTAATATTCACTTTAAAGCTAGGAATAAACATGTTTTATGCTAGCAGAATTTAATTTTAACTTTGAAACTTATCCAACGTTAAAACTTCCCTCAAGTTGGCTTTTTGGACATGCATGCATACAGTGCCTTGCGAAAGTATTCGGCCCTCTTGAACTTTTCAACCTTTTGCCACATTTCAGGCTTCAAACAAAAAGATATAAAATTTTATTTTTTTGTGAAGAATCAACAAGTGGGACACAATCGTGAAGTGGAATGAAATTTATTGGATGTGTCAAACTTTTTTAACAAATAAAAAACTGAAAAGTGGGGCGTGCAATATTATTGGGCCCCTTTACTTTCAGTGCAGCAAACTCACTCCAGAAGTTCAGTGAGGATCTATGAATGATCCAATGTTGTCCCAAATGACTGATGATGATAAATAGAATCCACCTGTGTGTAATCAAGTCTCCGTATAAATGCACCTGCTCTGTGATAGTCTCAGGGTTCTGTTCAAAGTGCAGAGAGCATCATGAAGACCAAGGAACACACCAGGCAGGTCCGAGATATTGTTGTGGAGAAGTTTAAAGCTGGATTTGGATACAAAAAGATTTCCCAAATAAACATCCCAAGGAGCACTGTGCAAGCAATCATATTGAAATGGAAGGAGTATCAGACCACTGCAAATCTACCAAGACCCGGCCGTCCCTCTAAACTTTCATCTGGAACAAGGAGAAGACTGATCAGAGATGCAGCCAAGAGGCCCATGATCACTCTGGATGAACTGCAGAGATCTACAGCTGAGGTGGGAGAGTCTGTCCATAGGACAACAATCAGTCGTACACTGCACAAATCTGCCTTTATGGAAGAGTGGCAAGAAGAAAGCCATTTCTCAAAGATATCCATAAAAAGTGTTTAAAGTTTGTCACCTGGGAGACACCAAACATGTGGAAGAAGGTGCTCTGGTCACATGAAACCAAATCAAACTGTTTGGCCACAATGCAAAACGATATGTTTGGTGTAAAAGCAACACAGCTCATCACCCTGAACACACCATCCCCACTGTCAAACATGGTGGTGGCAGCATCATGGTTTGGACCTGCTTCTCGTCAGCAGGGACAGGGAAGATGGTCAGAATTGATGGGAAGATGGATGGGGCCAAATACAGGAACATTCTGGAAGAAAACCTGTTTGAGTCTGCAAGAGACCTGAGACTGGGACGGAGATTTATCTTCCAACAAGACAATGATCCAAAACATAAAGACACATCTACAATGGAATGGTTCACAAATAAACATATCCAGGTGTTGGAATGGCCAAGTCAAAGTCCAGACCTGAATCCAATCGAGAATCTGTGGAAAGAGCTGAAGACTGCTGTTCACAAACGCTCTCCATCCAACCTCACTGAGCTCCAGATGTTTTGCAGGAAGAATGGGCAGAACTTCAGTGTCTCCATGTTCAACACTGATAGAGACAAACCCCAAGAGACTTGCAGCTGGAACTGCAGCAAAAGGCGGCGCTACAAAGTATTAACGCAAGGGGGCCGAATAATATTGCACGCCCCACTTTTCAGTTTTTTATTTGTTAAAAAAGTTTGACACATCCAATAAATTTCATTCCACTTCACGACTGTGTCCCACTTGTTGTTGATTCTTCACAAAAATTAAAATTTTATATCTTTATGTTTGAAGCCTAAAATGTGGCAAAAGGTTGAAAAGTTCAAGGGGGCTGAATACTTTCACAAGGCACTGTATATTTGTACAAATTGTACTTGAGAGGAGATTATTACAGCCTCATATAAAATCATTAATGATGATGATATCGGAACGGGATCGGCCAATATCCAGATTTAAGTATCGGGATCGGAAGTAAAAAAAAAGTGGATCGGTGCATCCCTACTTAGAAGCACTATTGGCCCTTTAACCTCTTCACAAAAGTTTATCCAAGAAAGTCTCTTACACTCCCTTAGAACAACTTTGTAGTGATTGTGGGACTGTACATACTGTTTCCACTTGGTTTTGTTCAGTTGGGATCTGTATCTACGCCATTACTTTTTACTGCCCTGCAGAGACCAAACAACTCTGGACCAGGCTGGTTGATACGACGGCCTCCACACTTTTACAGACTTGTAGGCAGTTTGCACAGCAACAGTCAAACATGTGACCTCTGTCTCAATGTCTTGCAGCTTTAATCCTGGCAATTCTCCCACCCATCAACTGAGATAAAGTGTTGATAAACAGATTCAAGTCAGTATTTGGGGGGTGGGGGGTGGGGGTTCTGTAAGTGACTGGCCACTGTTTCCCCATCCTCAGCTCAAACTGAATTAATCTGTGGTATGACAGTTTCCCCTGAGGACAGGGCAGAGGTGAGGAAGAGACCTGTGTCACAAACAGTACAGGCATGTGTCATCCAAAGCTGTGAAACTACAAACTGACCTGGAGTGATGCGCAACACATTAACACAAATGAACACACTTAACTTTGTGGTAAAAATGATAGAAAACCAGGCTCAAGGTGAAGAGGGAGTCATTTACCCTGTTTCAAAGTAATGTCTTCTGGTTTCACTCCATATTTCACAGCAGCTTTCTGTCGGGCTTCTTCCACACTTTGGCCCCAGACCCACCGCTCCTACCACACAACACACAGGAAATTACACAACAGGCTGAAACACACTAACTTACAGACAAGACATTTTACATTTTCATCACCTGGAACTGAAAGGGGAAAGCAGGTGATTATTCTTTTGCCCGTGTCTGTCCATTACCAAAATATTTCATGAACCTAATGACAAATTTTATTCAAACTTTAAGAGATAAATTATTGGGTGCACCTCAACAACTGATAAACATTTTAAGTCAACCCAATTTAAAAGGCCGCCACAGCTGTTTGATTTT